TTTATGGCAAAAAGAAGGCAATGAAGTAATAAAAAATTGATTTTCAAATATTTGTTTACATATTTATTTTTTAGGATAATCAATGGTTATTGCGTCGAATATCATTACATGGTAATACTGATAATAGTAAAAGTAATCAAGATGACATTAGTATTGATGACCTTGCTGTTAATCAAGGACTTTGTCCAAAATCAAGTAAATTTGAAATCTTTTTGTTGTATGTACGTAAAAATTTTCTTTCTTTCTTCTTTTAGTTATTTGTGATTTCGAAAGTAATGATCTATGTAGATATGTTAATGATCCAACGAATACAATCGATTGGAAACGTTTGCAGGCTGAAAATGATTCATCATTACCATCTACTGATGTTACTTATAGTTCATTATCACATGAACATTTCATATTCTTTTAAAAAGCAGATAATATATCAATAACAATAAATAGTCGATTTTTAACACCAAATTATACGGATACAAGTGATTCATGTATGTGATGTTATATGTTATTAGAAAATACAACAATATTAAATATTCGAACTTATACAATGAGTATAATAAATCCAAATGTTCTTTATACTCACAAGGCAGTGCCAATCGATCGCGAACTGTACTAGGTTGCAATTTTGAAACTGATTTCTGTTCATGAGAAGCGAACGGTTTAGTTGATTTTAATTGGAGACGAACACCATCGCATGATACTGGTCCATCTGGTGATCATATAACAGGTACAGGTTATTATGTTTATATTGAAGCTAGTACTCCACAAATACCTGGCAATCCAACAACATCAAGTTGTCTTGTTTTTTTTATAACATATGTAAGAATAAACGATCCTCTTTATTTTAAGATTTAACTTTTTAAATATTAGGTTCGAAGTTGATATTGGTACATTGAATGTGATGCTACAAACATGTGTTTCAAATCTAACTATATTTACATGGAATGGACCGGTTGAATAATATAATTAATACTCAAATAATATTCTTCGATTTATTTAGTCGTAAATACTTGGAAAGGTGATATAGCACTTGATGATATTCAACTCAACCATGATAATGCACCACCAAGCGGTAGATCGTCCGTTAGTTCGCACTCATTTATTTAAAAAAACTGTATTTTACTATATTTTAAAACAAAAATTTAAATCATACATTGTTATTAGCTACGGGATATTTTCTTTTTGTTGAACCAACTGGTCGTTCAGAGGGTGACGAAGCTCATCTTATATCATAAAGTTATAAAGGTAACCAACCAAGATGTTTACATTTATGGTATTATCTTTATCGAGCTGAACAAGGTACATTACTAATACAACAAAAATCTGAAATCGGTCGAGCAAAAATAATATGGACTAAATCAAACGATCAAGGTAAGATAATCATTCAGTTCTTTTCTTAAATAAAATTTGTGAATTAATTTCGTGCGTTTTGTTTTAGATAATATCTGGCATCAAAAGCGCACTACTGTTCCACCATTACTGGATTCCGGGACGTATAGAACTCTTATTATTGGTATTATCAGTTCAAAACCAACTGAAGGTGAGACTTTTCTTTTCTTTTTTTTTCTTTTTAATTCCTTTATTATTTATTAGATATGAGAATGGATGATGTATTAAATATCGAGGGTGAATGTCCAGGCTCAGAAGTTTGTACATTTGTAGAGGAAGATTTCTGCAGTTGGCTTAATGAATAAAATGGTATTGTTGATGATTTTGATTGGTTACTTCATTCGGGTCTAACATCAAGTCTTGAAACAGGTCCAACTGTTGATCATATATTGGATACATCCACAGGACATTATTTATATATTGAATCAAGTGATACATTTATTAAAAATGCAAAAGCATGGCTAATTTCGAAACATTATGATTCTGGTATACATTGTTTGATAGTTCGGTATCATCTGCTTGGATCAGGTATTGGTACATTAAATATATATTCACGTATTGGATCATCGACACCACAACTTCAATGAACGTAAAAAGAGATATTTTTTACTTTGTCACAGTTAAAATATTATATAGATTATTCTTATTTATAGGTTTAGTGGTAGTCATGGTGATCAATGGCAAATGGGAGTAGTCCACGTTAACATGAAAGAAGAAATTTATTTCATTATCGAAGGTAAAAAAAATGAAAAATTAATATTATTTGAAAAACATATATGACCGTATTTTTCTCTTTAAAAGGTACCTATGGGGGAAATTATCTTGGTGATATAGCGCTATTGATGATCTTCTTATATTAACAAATTCAAGTTGTACAAGTCTAACGATAGCAACAACAACTACTACCATTATGACAACACAAAGTTCATATTGTAATTCGACACATTTTCATTGTTTACAAAATACTCATCAATGTATACCAAAAGATCAATTTTGTAATTTTAATATAGAATGTATAGATCAAACAGATGAATTATCATGTCCAAGAACATGTAATTTTAAACAAAAGAATTTATGTCTTTGAACGCACTGAAAATAAAAATTATGTTGTTTTTTTTTCTAAAGAATCTTTTATTTTTCTAGGTATTATATGTTCGGTGATACAAATAATACACTAAATATTTATGTACGTGCTGGTCGTGTTGATACATTAATATGGTCATTACAAGGAAATCAAGATGATGAATGGCAACAAGGAACAACTTATTTACCTATATGTGCATAAGAATTTAATATTATTGTTGAACGTATACATAGTACATCATTCACAAGTTATATAGCCTTAAATGATTTCCTATTTGAACAATGTTATGAAATATCTTCATTATCAACATGTGAACAAATTATTGGAGATTCAATAGAAGCAAATAAATGTGATTATGAATTAGATTGTTATGATGGTAGTGATGAAGATGATAATCTATGTTATGAATATCAAAGATAAGGAGAAAACAAACCAAAGAATATTTTAAAAACTTAATCTTTGTTTCATTTAGATGTAATTTCGAAAAAAATTCTTGTTTATGGGAACCATCAGATGGTAGTTAATTAGCATGAAAAATATATCGTGCTGATACAGCAGCATTTGATAAACGATCACCATATGATCATACAACACATACGTTAAAAAAAAAAATTATTTTTTGTTAATTGGATATGAATGAAATTTTTTTTCTGTTAGGATTATTATTTACAATTACGTATTAATTCAACAATACAAAAAGATACATTAGCAATCATATCAACCTATCTTGGAGTAGCACTACAACAAGGTTGTACAATGCGTTTTTGGATTTATTTTAAGACTACTAATAATGGACAATTAGTTGTTAATTATCGACATTTTATAGGAGATGATATTACACTTTTATCATTTTCTACTTATCAATCTTGTGCAACAAATGCAATACAATGTTCATAGCAACGTGTTCATGTTTCACTAAGTGCTATTTTAATTCAACTAATTGAGGTGAAAGTTAAAAAAAAAATTTTCTTTTATTCAAATAGATTATTATTGGTGTAAGAACCAGTGCTGATCATAATAGCATTATGGCAATAGATGAAATAACATATACATCACAGTGTGTTAAATATAATGGAATAACACCATCCATAGATCCACCACCATCGACCATGGAAATGACGAAAACAGAATCTATAGAAATATTAACGACAACACCTAATACTGTTCTCATCACTACAACGACTTATGCTGGTAAAGTTTCTTTTTCTGTTTAAAAGGAAAAAATAGTGTAAATTTTTTATTATCGTTAGAGTGTGCTCAATATATTTGCTATAATGAAGGTATTTGTATATCATCATCAACACCAGGTGGCAAACCAATGTGCGAATAAGCTTATTTTCTAAATGAGTATATATATATTTCCATATCAATTAAAATTTCTTCAGATGTAAATCTGGTTTTAATGGTCCACGACGTGAAAATAAAGAGTCATCGTCAAACAAGAGTAATTGTAAGTAAAATATTCTGTATGTAAATTGTTCTATTTCATTTAAATATTTCTAGTGGGTGCTATTTTGGGTGAAGTATTTGGTGTACTTGCTGCTATTGCTTTATTATTGTTGGATATGTGTGGTTTTCATCGAAAATCGGTGCAACTATGTTTAGATAAAACAAATTATTTTTATTTTTCGATTAAACTTATGTATCGTTATATTTCGTTCTTTTTAGAGTTGCAATTGCAAGTACACAATTAGTTGATTCATTACCAAAAGGTTCAACTAAGAATCCTGCTTATAGTCAAACTGAAATAATTGATACATAAAAACATTGAACTTGTTTTCCTACCTATAATATGAATTTCTGTTTATTGTTGTTTCGAGATAATATAATCTTTTTAAAAGTCTGTTTCATTGTTTATTATTTACATCTGAAAAATAAAAATTAACTTCATTGAATATATAATTATATTTTTCATTGATAACGCTTTATATGAAATATGATTAAGAGAAAAGATTAACAACAGAATAATTAGAAAAATATTACATAGAAATTTTCAATTGATACTACTAGTTTTGTTAAGATAAAAATGCTATTGTATATCATTTCCTGCTGATGGCACAGTGAATAAACCAATTTCTTGTGAATAGATGTTGTTCAGACTCCTCAGATATCAATTTTGAATCAGAAACATTCCAATCACATGATATTGTCTAGGTATGTTGAGACTGTAACGCAAAAAGATGTGACAAAATTCTCACCTTGATATCATGATGCTTTCATGAAAGAAGAGTCAATAATAGCTAACGAGGAAAGGTCACCAAGTGAGAGTCTCAGTTTCGAATGGAATATATACTAATTAGTTTGTAAAGGTCGTCGAGCTGATTCTCGTCTCAAGTCAAACAAGACGGTCGTAAACGGTCACTTTTCGTCGTTTTTCGCCCGTTTGATAGCGACAATGTTACGGCCGTATTTCATCGCATTGTAAATGAGAGTAAACAATCGGATACTCGATTTTCAGGTCCTTTACGACCGTTACTAACCGTATGCGATACGATAGAAAACGGCCGTAATACTGTCGCTATCAATACATCATTTTACGGCTATTAACGACCGTAAACTGTATAAAACGATAGTATATATTATCGTTTTGGGTCGTTACGGCGACTGTAATCATCGTCCTGAAGTGTTATATCTCGTTTTTTCCCATAGAACTTTGACTAAGAAAAACTGATCGATTTTAGTAGTGAATTTCCTTACTTTGAATAAGTTTCGAGACAGTGGCTCGAAATTTGGGACTTCAAGAGTAATTAAAGTTTTAAGGTATCATGTCAAAACATATACAATGTCGCTTTCGGTAACCTATTTTTATATTATTTTAAGCGCAAGTTAAGTTTCAACTTCTGGATACATAACAAAGTTTTCCTTCAAGACCGTTGAACCATCTCGAAGTATAATAATTCTACAATTAACCCTTTCCCATTGAGCGGTCACTAGAATAGTCATTTAGAGAATGATTGCAGACAATAACGGAAGCATGATATTTGAAAACGAGGCGAATGTTTTTTGTAGTGAGCATCATTACCTATCAACTGATAAAAAGAATGTTTTTTTTTTCATCATTCAGTGTTTGATATATCAGTTCTACAAATTCAATAATGTCGAAAAAAATGAAAAAACTCGAATTTTTTCAAACAAACTGTTCTCTACCTTCAATAAATAAAGATCTTTCAGAATTTCTGTGTGATATAAATCGATGAAGAAATCCACTACTGAGTGAGATGTATTTCGAAAGCTTCACGATAAACTGACGAATTACACATACTACGACATATACATTACTGGCCAAAAGTATCCCACTGGGATCTCAGTTTCTATGAGAGCAAAACGTTTGGGAATTCGTATGTTGATAGTCCGTGAATAATATAGATCAGTGGTAACCTCAGCACCAAAATTGGTCAATCTAGAACGGAGTTATAATAGGTGGCGTTCATGATCATTATGAGTCGCTCGACCCTTCATTTTGTAATCCTGCATTATAGCTACTCGTGTTATAAATTTCATCGAAGTTCATCAAGCTATTGACCAACTAGACAATTTTTACTGAAAAGATGCATATGCAGAAAAACCGTATAGTACCATTGAGTGATCAATAACTCAATAATAGTTAAATGGATCTGTCTGAAATTATCAGGAGGAGTTTTACCATAGTCAACCAATGTTTTCTGAAAGTTTCAGAAGCAAGCGTTTTACTGAACAAAAATAGCACACTGGCCATCATGGAGAACTTGTCAGGACTCTAGAGTCCGTATTTCTCAAGCGAATGAGCTCATCTTTTGAGCGATGAAGGAGTATGAGTAGAGCTACAGCTTCATGATCGCTTTGGATGTCTTTAGAGTTTTATAAAACAAAAGAAATCAACTTGTTCCAGACATCTGTACAGTTCTCCGCTGAAATTCTATGGTGAATTATAGAATATAAGGATACGATTTATATAATGTTATTCAAAGACTACGTTGGCGAAATTTTAGAGAGTTACTATAGATTGTCTTACTTTAAATGATCTCGAGTAGGTTTAATCTAGTTAATTCTTATCAAACTGAATCCAAAACCAACTGCCTTCGATAATAGCAACTAGATCTTACCGGTCTGTAAGCACTTCGAACCGTTCGAAAAAACATTTTCTTAGTTAAAT